AAAAAATTAAAAACTCATCAAGTTGCACGTTTAAACATGTAGCTTATTTATGTCAATTATAAATCAAAGAATAAAAGGAAAAATATAACATGGACTTCTTTCCATGACAGCACCAAGATATAAGTGTGGTGTTTCATTATATGTATGTACTGTGATGTTATCATCACAGCCCTGGTTTGGTGACTCATCTGTTCTGGGTGAAGAGGCCCCTTTTTACTTTGTGGATAAGGATAAGAATGGCTTTTATTTGCTGAAATTGATTAACACATCTGACATCATCAGTCAGAATGTAATTTCTGAAACTTACTGCTTCTGGCTGTCCATGACCTCTAATCTCATTGGACCCAGAAGACTCTTATTTATCCTAAACATGGAAACAGATTAAGTGACATAAGTGATCTTTCCCATAAAATTATGGAGCCCCAGAGATAATCTAATTCAACCCCCTTATTTTTACAGAAAAGAAAGCAGGATAAGTGATTTACCTGTGATCATACAGATAGCTAGAGCACAGGACTCCCATCTCTTAGTTTATTTTTTACAGAACAGATGTCAAATAATTGCTTTTTTGCCCTGGGGTTGTTTGTATTAGCTCTGGATCAGTACACATTAATCTTTAGGAAAAAACACAAGCAAAAACCACTCTCCATGGGTCACTGTTAAACGTCTTCTCTGGAGGAACGATTTTGTAGGAGTTCTTTTTTCTTTGGAGCAAAGGGAAGGAAAGAATGATTTTAAAGTAAAAAAATAAAATCAAGCTCCCTGCTGTGCCTTGTACTATAAAGCTAATCCATTTTTTTAAAGGAATGACTGGTGTTTCACCTCTTGCAAGCCCTAGGATTTCAACCCCTGCTGTCTGTTTTCACAGAACTATCTCAAACATCATGTGACAACTTGGAAAGTTTATTCTTTACTGGGTAGGATGTTGTAGATTTGGATACTATTCTTTGTTCATTTATTATTTTGTTGGTTTATTTGATAAATACATATGAATGCCTACCATGTGCCAGGAACTATTCCCTTGCTAGCAGACTTTAAATTTGAGGGTAGTAAGCACACACGCACAAACACACACACACACGATCAGTAAACAAATAGTATATCAGGTGTTGACAAGTGCAATGGAGAAAATTAAGGAGACTTGAAATGAAAGGAAATGCTAGGGACACACAACATATATAAATATGTTGTTTTCTTTAGGCTAGATAGGGAAAGTCTTAATGGGGTAACATTTGAGCAAAGGCAATAAGCAAATGAAGGTGCAAACCTTGAGATTATCTTATGGAAGAACATTGCAGGCAGAGAAAACAGTAGGTATAAAGATACTAAAATGATCTTTGTGTTTGATACTTTTGGATAATCTGGAACTGAGTGAGTAGGGTAGAAATGGGAGGAGATAAATTCAGAGATGGGGCAGATCATATAAAACTTGATTGACACTTGAAAGTACTGTCTTACTGTGTATGAGAAAATTGGTTCTGAGTGAGTGACATGATCTCATTTTTCTTTTTAAAAACTGAGATAAAATTTGCATAACATAAAACCATCATTTTAACAAATTTAAGGTGTTCAATGCTGTGGTTGTTAGTAGTGATGGTTGCACTACATTCTTAAAGTACTATCTAAATTCAGAACATTTTCATCACCCCCCAAAGAAATCCTGTACCCAATAAGCATCCACTCCCCATTTTCTACTTTCTATCTCTCTGTATTTGCCTAATTTGTATTCTGTTTCATACAAATAGAGTCATAAAAAATGTGGCCATTTGTGTCTGGCTTCTTTCAGTTACCATAACATTTTCAAGATTCCTTCATGTTGCACCATGTATCAGAACTTAATTTCCTTTTATAGGAGAATAATATTATTTATTTATATATATATATATATATATATATATATATATATATATATATATATATATATATATATATACACACACACATACATACATACACACAAAATTTTTATATAGTCATCCATAGATGGAAATTTGGGTTGTTTCCACATTTTTGGCTATTTGGAATAATGTTGATATGAACATTTATGTTTTTACATGAATGGATGTTTTTTAATGCTCTCAGGTCTATATCTAGGAATGGAATTGCTGAACTGTCTGATTTATATTTTCCAGGCTCTTTTTTTGCCACTGAGTTGTGAATGGACTGACTGGAGACAAAGAAAGAAGCAGGGAGATTTGTTAGGAGGCTATTGCAACCATTCACTTGCCAAACAGTAATGCTTTGGACCAGAATAATAGCACTGGAAGGGATGGGAACTGATGAGATTCTAGATGTATTTTGGAGATAGAGACAAGAGGATTTGCTGACATATTTTATTTGTATTATGAGATAAAGAGAGGAGTCAAGGATAATTCTTGAAATTTTCAATCTTAGAAATGACAGAAGGGAGTTTCCATTTGATGAGACTGAGGTAAGAGCAGGTTTTGGCGAAGATTGAGGCTTTGGTTTTAGACTTGTGTTTGACCCATCCAAGTTGGAGAGGCTGAGTAGACTATTGGAAAAACAAGTCTGCATTTAAGACATACATTTAAGTTATAAGCTTATAGGTGATATTTAAAGCCACGATACAAGATGAGATCATTTAAGAGTAATGCTAGATGGAGAAGAGAAGCAACCCTGAGAAGAAGCCTGGACACAATCCAAATGGTAGAGTTCCTAGAGAGGAGGAAAGACCAGAAACGGAAACTGAGAAGGGGCAGCCAGTGAGCTTAAAGGAAGAAACCTTGGGAGTATAGAGATCTGGGAGTCAAGGGAAATTAACTGAGATATTAGAGATAGAATGACTTTTTCCCTTTTCCTGCTTTTCTTATTAATTCTTTGAGATAAGAGGCCCAGGGATGATATTTTGCCTTTTAGATATGAGGACTGCTGTTTTATTTTTATTTTTTAAGTTAAAAACTTGTTAAAACTTGGGAATAATATTTCCTTGCCTTTTATCTGAATAAAAGGTAATATGTGTTCATTATAAAATGTAAACATTAAAACAATCCTTTAAAGTGAAGCAAACAAGAAAGCAAAAGCTTTTAACCAAAGCTTAAAGTTCCCCCATCTAACTGAAATTTTTACCCTTTGACCAACACTTTTCTCTGACTTCCTCAGCCCCACCAGTAACTCTCCATCATTGTACTCTTCAACATCAACTACCATTCTGCTCTTTGTCTCTGTGAGTTAGACTTTACACTTCACATGAGTGAGATCATGCAGTATTTGTCTTTCTATGTCTGTCTTTTTTCACTCAGCATAATGTCTTCCATGTTCATCTATACTGTAGAAAAAGACAGGATTTCCTGTGTGTGTGTGTGTGTGTGTGTGTGTGTGTGTGTGTGTTGCTAGGGATTGAACCCAGGGCCTTGTGTACACAAGGCAAGCACTCTACCAACTGAGCTATATCCCCAGTCCAGAATTTCTTTCTTTTTAAAGGCTGAACAATATTCCATTGTATATATCCATATTTTTTCAACCCAATTATCAGTTGATGGACATTTTGGTTACCTTTACTTCTTAGGTACTGTGAATAATGTTGCAATAAACATGGAGGTACAGATATCTCTGTTTAAAAAAATGTTCTTTTTAGTTACACATGGCAGTATTGTATTGACTTATTTGGTGCAACCACTCTGGAAAGCAGTATGGTATTCCTAAAAAAACTTGGAATGTAACCACGGTTTTTTCCCAGTTATCCCATTCCTTGGTGTATATCCAAAGGAGCTAAAAACAGCATACTTCAGTGATGCAGCCACATCCATGTTTATTAGTAGCTCAATTCACAATAGCTAAGCTATGAAACCAACCTATATGTAGTAATATACACGATGGAATATTACTGAGCCAGAAAGAAGAATGATATTATGGCATTTACTGGTAAGTGGATGGAACTGGAGACTGTTATGCTAAGTGAAATAAGCCAATCCCCTAAAACCAAAGGTCAGATTATCTCTATGATATGTGGATGTTAACACACAACAAGGAAGGAGAGGAAGAATAGAAGTTCAGTAGATTAGACAAAGGGGGATGAAGGGAAGGGAGGGGATCAGGAATAGGAAAGAGAGTGGAATGATTCTCACATAACTTTCCTTTGTACATTTATGAATATACCACAGTAACTCTCTATATATCATATACAATCTCAGGACTTGGAACCTTATTAGGAGGGCTGCTGTTTTAAATGCTTAGGTTCATCATTCACTATGATAATTAAGCTTTAAAGCCACTTTGGACTTCTGCATTCTGTCTTTAAGACATACTGATTATTTGTGGATCTACCTAAGTTGCATTGAAGGAATTTATTCAAGAATTTGATCAACAGACATTTGAGTATCTACCTTATGCTAACCTGTCTTCTAAGCAATGGGAACACAGTGGTGCACAAGCTATGTGGTCACTGATCTCATGTAACTTAGTCTATTGGAATAGAAAGACATTAAACAAATCATTTAACAAAGTAAATAATTTGTTTTAAAGATATAAATACTTACATATGTTATGAATGTTATCAAGAATTGGGGTATTTGGGGAGCAAGTTTATTAATCCAGACTTAGGATATGGTCAGAGAAATCTGGAGGAATTGACATAAGGAGAGACCTCAAGAAGGAGTAGATTCAGCTAGATGAAGAAAAGTAGCCATTGTGAAAAGAACACCTCAGGCAAAGAAAAGAAGGAAGAGAAAGAACTTTGGGATATTCAGGGAACCAAAAGGTCTTCTTCTTTCCAGAACGAAAGTACAAAGAAGAGTGGAGGGTGAAAGATGAGGCTGGAGTACTGAGCAGGGTTCAAATCATAATGATTTTCCTGCCAGGCCAAGTAATTTGAATTCAGTCCCAACAGAAATAGGGAACCTGTGAAGTTTTTACAATCTACTCATACTTATTTGAGAAAAATCACTTAGGCTACAGTAGTGAATGAATTATTAGAAAGGAGGTCCTACTGGAGGCAGGAGAGCTGATTTCCTTTAAATATTGACTCTTTGTTTTTATTCTAGCATGCCATTCGAAGTGCCAAAGCAGAAAAGTGGAAAGAGTGTGATAGAGGCTGAGAGTGAGAGTTTGGATAGCTACACAGCTGACTCAGACAGCACCTCCAGGTTGGGTTTCCCCCATTTTCCTTACTATTTCCCACTTCCCTTACCTCTGCTCAACCTAAGTTCCCATTTTGTTCTCTAGCATCAGAATGCATGTTTCCTATGCCTTGAGTGTTCCTGATTTCTGTCCTCAGGAAATCGAATGCAGTATTTTCTCCCCAGAAGTCTTTCAGTAGGTCTTCTACTGATTTAGCTCTGGGTATAGCTTCCTGGAGTGTGTTAAGTTCCCCAGTCTGCTGTACCTTGGAGGATTCTTCCTAGCCCAGAAGCAATTGATGCCACTGCCCCTTAGGAATGGGAGTGTGAGTGTTTGTGTTTGTATAAAGTTGGATATTTGATCTTCTGCATTCCTTCAAGGTAAATCAGATATGAAGTGTATTTTTTGGATTTGGTTACTATGATGACCCCAAGCCAGTGACTCTCCCTCCTTGCTAGAGCTTTGAGTCCTGATTAAAAGAGGAAGGGGAGGAGGTAACTTAGTTCTAACTTCTGAATCTGCCTCCAGGAGAGACTCTCTGGATAAATCTGGCCTCTTTCCAGAATGGAAGAAGATGTCTTCCCCTAAATCTCAAGTTGAAAAGGTAAACCAGGCTATTTGTCTTTCCTTCTCTTCTTTCCCTTCCTCCCTCTTCCTCCCTCCCTCCAGAACTTCTTTCCTTCTTTCCTTTCTTTCCCCTCTCATCTCCTCTCCTCTATTCTTTCTTTCCTTCTTTCTTTACTCAGGCCAAATTTATTTATTCATTTATTAGTATTTAGTTGTCAATGGTCCTTTATTTTATTTATTTGTATGTAGTGCTGAGAATCGAACCTAGTGTCTCACACATGCTAGGCAAGTGCTCCAGCACTGACACACAACCCCAGCCCCCTCAGGCCAAATTCAAATCAGAAATTCAGCTAAACAAATTTTACTTCAGATTCATCTTGGAGCATTTCCTAAGGGTTTAGTTGAAATGCATGAGAAAATAGGTTTTGTAGTACTTCCATACATTTAATCTTTCTTGTAAGTTTGTCATAGTTGACTGAAAATCTGAAGCTTATTCTACTTCATGCTATCCTTTCTTACTCGTTCCTACCACCTGCCCAAATATCCTTTTCCATTTTATTTCCCTTATTCTTTTTCTTTTAATTTTTATTGTTGGTTGTTCAAAACATTACATAGTTCTTGATATATCATATTTCACACTTTGATTCAAGTGGGTTATGAACTCCCATTTTTACCCCGTATACAGATTGCAGAATCACATCAGTTACACATCCATTGATTTGCATATTGCCATACTAGTGTCTGTTGTGTTCTGCTGCCTTTCCTATCCTCTACTATCCCCCCTCCCCTCCCCTCCCCTCTTCTCTCTCTACCCCTTCTACTGTCATTCATTTCTCCCCCTTGTATTATTTTTCCCTTTCCCCTCACTTCCTCTTGTATGTAATTTTGTATAACACTGAGGGTCTCCTTCCATTTCCATGCAATTTCCCTTCTCTCTCCCTTTCCCTCCCACCTCTCATCCCTGTTTAATGTTAATCTTCTTCTCATGCTCTTCGTCCCTACTCTGTTCTTAGTTACTCTCCTTATATCAAAGAAGACATTTGGCATTTGTTTTTTAGGGATTGGCTAGCTTCACTTAGCATAATCTGCTCTAATGCCATCCATTTCCCTGCAAATTCTATGATTGTGTCATTTTTTAATGCAGAGTAATACTCCATTGTGTATAAATGCCATATTTTTTTTATCCATTCGTCTATTGAAGGACATCTAGGTTGGTTCCACAGTCTTGCTATTGTGAATTGTGCTGCTATGAACATCGATGTAGCAGTGTCCCTGTAGCATGCTCTTTTTAGGTCTTTAGGGAATAGACCGAGAAGGGGAATAGCTGGGTCAAATGGTGGTTCCATTCCCAGCTTTCCAAGAATTCTCCATACTGTTTTCCAAATTGGCTGCACCAATTTGCAGTCCCACCAGCAATGTACAAGTGTACCCTTTTCCCCACATCCT